GCATAACATTTTTATTTTATAATGTTACTTAGATATCTTCTTGGGCCAAGAAATATTAGATAGACCGATTTAATAAAAAAAATTTAATGAAGAAAATCAACATGAGATTACTGTTTTTTTTTGAAAAATGACATTGAAGGACCTTGGAAGGAACAAAGAACACTAGAGGACTCAACTTTTGGGAAACTATAATAAAAAAATTAACGAGTTGGGTTGTAATTTCTCGAAGATCAATTGTACATTGTTGAAAATCAATTATAACTAAGATAAGGACACAACATGTTCAAGATTTCCAACCAGATTGAGGTGTAATTTTCTATGTAAATTGTTGAAGATCAATTTTAAATAGGAAAGATCTAACTGTCTATTTTTAGGGGAAAAAAGAGGGTAAGCTGTAAGGATCTAATATATAAAATTGTATACGCAAAGCAAAAGATCATCAATTTTTACCAGAAAAAAATATCAACAATTTATTTGTAGGTTTGAGAGCCCACAAAAAAGAGAGAAATGAAAGGTAACTTTTGGAGCAGAAACAGCTAAGCTGCGTTGTGATCATATTGCATGTATTGTGGCTTTAATTCCTTCAGTCACTCAGACCCCTTCTTTCAACATTTAGGCAAGACCAGCTTGTAAATTAAGACAATTTAGCAACAAAAAAAATGCAAATTATTCATAAAAATAAAAAGTCTTTTATTGTGTCTATCAAAATTATGCAATTTAATTTTAAATTTATATTTTCAGTTGAATTTTAATTTTTATATAATAGATATGCTTTTAAAACTGAATTGAAGATTTTTCTCTATTTCTAAAATCACAAAAAATATATGCTTCTTAAAAAAAAAATAAAAGTCCAGCTATTAATTATTTTTTATTTATGAATATAATTGTATGACCTTATAATATACAAACGCATATACATGTTTTATTGTAATGTTGGTTGTTCATGGGTCCTTTTAGATGAGAATTGATCAAACTACATTTAGTTAAATAAAATACAACTCTCAATAAATAATCATGATATTCTTAATTTGTTGGTCCTCTCTGGTTTGGGAGAGGAGTCTACCTCCACAACTCTATCCATGGAAATTAATTAAGACTCGATATGCTAATCATACTTTTCACTAAGGGAAATTAAAATGAGTTGTATTTGTATATGAAATTCAAAATAAATTATATAAAGCGCCAAATTTAATACTATGTTATCTTGATATTAATAATTAATTAATGTTTTGAACGTTTCCAAACCTACTTCAATTTTTATTTATTTTTTTATTTCAAATTTTCCAAACGTACATCTATGGCTTCCTGGAAAATGAGTCATTATTTATCAAAAAAAGAAAAGGAGTCATAATATTATCCATTTAAATTTTAAATACAAAAATTTATACATTTAAAATATTTCACATAATGAACTAAATTTTGAGATGGATTGAGAAAAAAGAACTAAAAAAAATCTCATATTGTTAAATGGGGGAGTCAAATGTATTTGTTATGACAAATAATATCAAAATATTTATTGACATAAAAAAAAAAAAAGGAATAAACGAAGTGAAGAGAATCCGTTACAGATGGCATGGTAGGCGATTTGGCTGTTGCTTGTTGGTATGAAATTATTGCTCATTGTATATTAACCGTCGGCTGTCCACTTGTGAGAATCTGAAGAAGGTTTAAATAATTTTACCAAAACCAATGTAAGAGGAAAAAAAGGTTTAAAGTTCAAACAAACGTTACATTTCAACATTTCAAGTAAACAAAACATGCCCAGAAAATAAATTTTGAATTTTTTGAAACCTCATAGAAACTTATGATATAAAATTAAATTTAGTAAGATTAAAAATTTTAGATTCATAAATGCAAATAATGTTAACTTAAGATTCTCTATTAGTCATTTATACTTTTTCTAAGATTAAAAAACTGAACTCATGCTGAACCTATCCATGTGTGTGTATACTTCCTCTTATCCTATTTATAATATTAAAAAAAATTGTTTTGATCATGTTTATGAAACATATCATTAATTTTATCATAATTTTTTTTACCTCCTATTAAATTGTGGTGAGAGAAAATAAATTATTAATATATACATATTTTATTGAAGTAAAGTCAAAAACTTGTTAAACTTTTAAAAAATAGTTAATAAATTTTAAAATTTTCTTACTTCTGATAAATATATTAAAGGATATTTATAAATTTATAAATAAGACAAAAAGGAGGTGGTTTATTAAAATTAACAATTTTTTCAAAAAAGCATGAACATTATTACAATTTATTCTTGGAATAATTACATTAAAGTCTTGTATAAAAAAATTAATTATTATAAGATTCGTTAACAATCAAACTAATATCATTTGTATTATCAATAGCCTTGGTTTAATTATTAATAAATTTTATAATAATTAATTTTTTTATTTAGGACCTATATGTAATTTTTCCTTTATTCTTTCAATATTTATTATGAAACCAACATTTATTATTTTATTGTTATGAGCATTTAGTGATATAATTGCATGAACTAATGTGGGGCTCACACGTTTCACGAGACCCTCACTAGTTGCAAATTCAGGTAATAAGTTGTAATTTTCTTGGATAAATTTTATGGTGGTAATTTAATAATTATATTTTTTAATTCCTAACCACATAAGGACCTTTGATTCTTAATTCACATTTTATTATGTTTTGATTCTGATCTAAATAAGTGGGCTGATTTCAGCCAGTGTCATTTCTCCCTGCATGTAGATACTGTTCAAGCTCCTATGTATACAAATACTCTCACTTTATTTGTAAGGCCTACCTGTCAATAATTGATAGCCTTCGCAAGGGATATCATTTATCGCTTTTATAATATCATGTTTCACCTTTTAAATTATCACCAAAAATAAAATTATTATTCCTCACCCAAAAGTTTGTGTGAAAAAGTCATGCAATTATTATAAGAAAAAATATAACTAAAATACAGTACTTGAGAGAATTTCATTATAATTTTAAACTTTATGTATAATAAAATATGTATATTTTTTTGAACCAAAAATAGTTTCAAGTTTTAACTAGTGTGTACTTTTTCGTTATTTCAAGTGAAAATAGAATTAAAATGTATTTTTGCCTTAAAAATATTTTCAACGGCTATTTACATTATAAAAAATTGTAAAACAATATAAATGCACAATCTTTCAGAACCATTGTAATATTATCTTTTTTTTAATCGATTTTACGTAAACCGCTAATACGGGTTGGAATATTTTAGAAATCTGACATTGATTTAACATTCATGTTAACACTTCATTCAAGTGAAAATATTTAAGAATTTATAATAATAATTCAAAACAAAATCATATCCAATCTTCCCTTATCAATGGTACTCCCTCCTTCTCAGTTCTAGAATATTTTTTGGCAACATCAGGCCTATTAATAAAGTTCATTAAATATTGTAGTATAATTTTTTTAAGATATAAATATAATTTTTTTAAAATACTCTTAATTTAATATAGCCTTAGTTGGAAAACATTAAATAGGAGAAAAAAATATAAGAAAGGATAATATTAAAATAAATATAATGTTCTTGTCAAAATATTTATATTATGAGACACTGAAACACTCTCAAAAGTACACTTCTTTCGTTTCTTATTGTAAGGCACTTCTAAATACCTCACCTAAATTAAGAAAAGGTGATTAAAATATTAATTTTGTCAGAAAAATAAACTTTAAATTTTACCTCATTAAAATAAAAGAATTTAAATTTGCATTACATTCTCTCTCATAATTAAGAAATTTAAATAAAATTAGTGTTAAAAAAGCAATTAATACCCACTAATTGTCTTATACTAAGGATAAAAAAATCCTTCTAAAAAATGCTTTATAATAACAACTATAAAAAGTATTATAATTTAGGATAAAGAGAGTAATAGTATGCTCCCTTTGTTTTTGAATTTAGGAGAAACTGTCATGTGATATTTTTGTTTTTTACAAAGAAAATACACATTTTAATGAATATCTATTACAATTTTTTTAAATTTACCTCTTATAAAACCAAATATTTTATTCACAGGACCAAACATTAATGCAGGCTTATTTGATTAATACTTCTTATGTCCTAAATTATAAAATACTTTTAAATAAAGTCGTACATACTAATAAAACTTATTAAATATACTATAACTTTATTTTTTAGAACTAAAATATAATTTTTTAAAAGAATGTCCTATATTTAATATTGCATTTATGAAAGAATATTAAAAAAAGGGAACATGATATGAAGGGTATTATTAAAAAATATCATTAATAAAATTTTATTTTTATTAAAATATTTTATATTTTGCAACATCAAATTTCATTAAAAATATCTTATAATTTAAGGTGAAGGGTGGAATACATGATATTTTAATCTAATTTTTTATTTTAAAAAGTAATTATTACACTTAACTAATTTTTTAAAAAATGTGTGAAATTGTGAATTGATAATTCTCAAAACCGAAGAGTATGACCATTGGAACTAACCATGGAATTGGAAAATTATCCCCATCAAATAAAAAAAATGAATAAAAGAAGTCGAAAAGAGTAGGGGAAAAAATCCAAAGTTAAACCAAAACAACCCAAAAAAGAAGATAAGAAGTAGTAGAATGAAATAGAAAAGACAAAGAAAGGAAGAAAAGAAGGAGAAAGTAAAAAATAAAATAAAACAAAAGAAAGAGTAATAACAGTTGACTAATCGCTTTTAGCGTGGACAGCTAGGGTTTCTTCCTTTCTGGTAAGATGTGTAAGTAATATACTAACAGCCTGGGCCTTCATCATCATCATCATCATCATCATCTCTCTCTCTCTCTCTCTCTCTCTCTATGTATGTAATTTGTATAGAAAAATGCAGGCTGCCCAATCCTTGCTTTCTCTCACTCCTCCAATGGCAACACCCACAATGCCATCAATCTGAACCAGACTATCGCCAATCTACCACCATTGTCTCCTTCTCCTTCCACACTCTGCTCGGCGTTGCTCGCAGATTCTCAGCAATGCTGCCTCACAAGCTCACTCTGTTGCTTCCCATCTTCCTCATTTTGCTTCCTCTGGCCAGACCAGATCTGGCTTCTGAGCGGACTGCTCTCCTCGCTCTCCGTTCCTCGGTGGGAGGCCGAACCCTTCTCTGGAACATCACCTTGCAGAATCACTGTAAGTGGGCTGGCGTCCAATGCGACCATGACCAGGTCGTCGAGCTTCATCTTCCCGGTGTTGGGCTTTCCGGCCGGTTACCTAACGGCATTTTCGGGAACCTCACTCATCTCCAGACTCTCAGTCTGCGTTTCAACGCCTTGACTGGAAGTCTCCCTTCAGATCTCGCTTCTTGCGTCCACCTTCGGAATCTTTACTTGCAGCGAAACTTGCTCTCTGGAGAAATCCCTGAATTCTTGTTCTCTTTACCCGACATGGTTCGCCTTAATTTGGGGCACAACAATTTTTCCGGTGCGATTCCGCTAGAGTTCAACAAGTTGGCGAGGCTGAGGACTCTGTATCTCGAGAATAATCAGCTTTCAGGTTCCATTCCTGGGTTGAACCTGGAAAATCTCGAGCAGTTCAACGTGTCGAACAATTTGTTAAACGGGTCGGTACCGGTAAAGTTACAGACATTTTCCGAAGATTCATTTCTAGGCAATTCACTGTGTGGGAAGCCCCTCAAGCTGTGCCCAGGAGAAGGAGCTGCAATATCTCCGTCGGGTGAGATTGATAACAACAACCGGGGGAAGAAGAAGAAATTGTCTGGTGGGGCCATAGCTGGGATAGTCGTTGGATCTGTGGTGTTTCTCCTGTTGGTTCTGTTTGCTTTGATTCTGCTTTGCCGGAAGAAGAGTAGTAAGAAGTCGAGCTCCGTCGACATTGCTACTATGAAGCATCCAGAAACTGAAATTCCAGGCGATAAACCCGTTTCAGATGTGGAGAATAGTGGTCAAAGTAATGGGTATTCGGTAGCTGCTGTGGCCGCAGCAGCCATGACCGGAAACGGCAGAACAGAATTGAACAGCAATGACGGATCGAAGAAGTTGGCATTCTTCGGTAATTCACCGAAAGTGTTTGATCTGGAAGATTTGCTTAGAGCTTCGGCAGAGGTTTTGGGTAAAGGAACGTTCGGAACAGCTTATAAGGCGGTCCTGGAGGCTGGTCCGGTGGTGGCTGTGAAAAGGTTGAAGGATGTGACAATTTCTGAAAAGGAATTCAAGGAGAAGATTGAATTGGTTGGAGCAATGGATCATGAGAATTTGGTTCCTCTCAGGGCTTATTATTTCAGTAGGGATGAAAAACTTCTTGTCTATGATTACATGCCAACGGGAAGCTTATCTGCACTTTTGCATGGTGAGCATTTTCAATCTTTTTAAGATCCACTAATACTTGATTTCACATTTTTAGTAGATTTTGAAGGCATCATATATTCTTTGAAGATGAACTCCACAATTTCCACTCTTTTGGTGATTGTATTTATCCTCTTTTAGGGAATATGCATAATTGTTATTAGTGCCCAACTGTTGATTTCGTTGAATCTTTCAAAAGAGGGTGGGCTGAGAATCTGCATCCTTTAGAAAATGGGTTTTTCCATGCATCCTATTTGCAGTTCTTTTCAATTGCTTCCTCATAGATCTATATGGCTTTGGGTAGTACATACATGCAATTCCGCATCATCTTGTTCCATCTTCTGTTAGCCTAAAGATGGTGACATTGGCTGATAAATTTCTATATTATCATAACAATAACTTGAATTGGCTCCATATTTTTTATCAGCTTTACTTCCCAAAAAACTTCATTGTAACGAGTACGTGAAAAACATGAACCAGGAAACAAAGGGGCGGGTAGGACACCATTGAATTGGGAAATCAGATCAGGAATTGCGCTAGGAGCTGCTCAAGGCATCGAGTACCTACATTCACAGGGACCTAATGTTTCTCATGGAAACATAAAGTCATCCAACATCCTCCTCACCAAATCCTATGATGCCAGAGTGTCTGATTTTGGCCTGGCACATCTTGTTGGTCCTTCCTCCACTCCCAATCGGGTTGCTGGCTACCGTGCGCCAGAAGTTACTGATCCTCGCAAAGTTTCTCAGAAGGCAGATGTCTACAGCTTTGGAGTGCTGCTCTTGGAACTTCTGACTGGAAAGGCTCCCACACATTCTCTCTTAAACGAGGAAGGAGTAGATCTCCCAAGATGGGTTCAATCTGTTGTTAGAGAAGAATGGACTTCTGAAGTGTTTGATCTTGAGCTCCTCAGGTATCAGAATGTTGAGGAGGAGATGGTTCAATTATTGCAGCTTGCAGTTGATTGTGCAGCTCAATATCCTGATAAGCGCCCTTCAATGCCTGAGGTGAGGCAACGCATAGAAGAGTTACGTCGTTCAAGCCTGAAGGAGGATCAAGACCAAATTCAGCAGCCTGATCTGATCAATATAATGTAGATGACATATCTTCTCCATGATGGGTATGCTAAAAAAAGATCATATCATCTTTGCTTTGTTAAAAACCCAAAAAAAAAAAAGAGCCCATGTTTTCCGGTGCTTATGCTGTATTCTTTTATCTCGGTCCTTAAATTTTCTCAGCACCCAACTTTAAATTTTTCATCTTTTCTTTTTTATTTTCTTCTTCTCTTACAGTATCTTCATTTAATATTTCTTCCCCCCAATTTCTATCTCAATGAATAGCTTGAGGGGGTTGATGTCTGTTCCATTAGTCATTATTGATGGATTCTGGTTGATGTAATTATTACTCTTCTTTGCTTTAACATTGGCTTTTGCTTTGTTGAAAGTTGAAACTTTTTTCCTTGTCGGTGGCACGTATGATCACCCCTTTATTTGTTGCCAAAAATGGCTGAGGGCATGACATGAACCCCACCTTGTTAAAAGCATATTTATTTGATACCCCATTCACAAAAAAACTGATAATAATTCATCAGGCTCTTCACAGGTCGACTTCAACTGTGGCCTATGAAGAGCCTTATTGCATTTATTTATTTATTTATAATTTTATGCAATTATTTATCTTTGATAGATTAGATTTATATATAAGAAACTAGCACTTGTGAACATGAAACAAAATTAAGAGCCTTATGTTTTCACGTGAACTATGCTTTGAAAAGTTAATTTGGAATGATGTTAGGGAAGTTTAATCCAACAAACAACCCTAGAATATTAGTTCTTTCCGTACAATTTTTTCCATGCAAAAAGCATGCTCGTTAAAGTAAAGGTCTGATAGGACTTGTGGAATACAGAGTATCAGGTGGTCAGCCCCATCATGGGTCCCATTATGATAAACCAATTTTGTTATTGGTTTACAAAGACAAAGGTTAAGCCACTTCCTTCTTAACCTTTCTGGACATAGGATTTTAGAATTAAAACATCATGCGAAGTGACAAGCACTGGAAATAAACCTTCTCAGAAGTTATGGAGATTACAAAAACGAATGGCTTTATTTGGCAGACCAAATGTGAACAAGTGTAGGGGAGTGGCAGTTTTTGAAAGTTGAAAGTGAGGTTCTGATATAGTGGACCAACCTCTGCTTAATGCTCATATTTTGTTGCTATCTGCACCGAACCTTGCTGTTCTGTTCTGTTTAAATTGTTGTGATGTGAATTCAAATGAGGTTGCGAACGAATGAACAAGACAGTGATGTTTGTGTCTGTCTCCTGGTAATGTTGCTGTCTTATTACGTATCTTCTTTCACCCATTGGTGACCCCTTTTTTAGGACTCGTGCAGATATGGTATTTACACAAATACAAATAATGGAGGAGCCTTGTGAGTATCTAATTGAATATTTGAACGTTGAAAACTTGAAATTTCTCGTCTCTGTGCCAAGGGCCAAACTGAGTTTTTTTTTTTTTTGGTGGCTATTACTGCCGTTACATAAAAATGGACTTTATCTAACGGCTCCTTTTATCTCTTTCATGGACCTTAAATTGTTTAATTTTCCCCTGCGAAGCAGAGTTTCTAAATTCTTCTTGAGGCATTTCCTTTAATTTATTCTCGTTTTGTTTATACTGAAGGCAGATCTGATAACAACTGTTTAGAATGCAATATAATGAGTTTATATTTCTTTTGTAACAAATCAGACTACCCATAATATGATTTCCTCTCTTAAGATTTTATGCAATGTAAAAAACCCTCTCAATTGAATATCAATTAGAGTTATACTTGTTTCCGGATTAGGATTCAATGGGTGGCTTCAGTCTAGTCTCAACTATAATCGTTGAATCTCATTAATATTTAAAAACTATTAAAATATATTTCTCTCCCAAAATTCAAAACAATACTTACTATTAGAATACTCATCACATACTCTCCAAAAATTTAAAATTTAATACTTTCTTGATATTATAAAATAAAATTTTCAGCAACTATTTGATTTAATCAAATGATTGTTATAGTACCACATTAGACATTTATCAAATGAATAGACTTAAATTACTCATCAAATTCAAATCCTCTTTTTCCAGGAATGCTATTACCATTATCCTCTTATTACATATACATTTTCATTGAAAATAATCATACTTGTCAAAGACTCAAACATTAGTTTGTCACTCCATGAAAAACTAATTTATTCGATTAGACTTAACTCTTTGTTACTAACACCATAACTTCTTCAATGATGTAATAATTCAGACATGGACATTGCGTCCTCTTTTTCGCTACATCATAGGGGTATTATTGTAAGAATTTTGAAAAGAGAGATCACTTGAAATTACATAGCATTAGCTCCCCCTAAAAAAAATGATTAAAATATACTTTCACCCTTCTAACTTTATATAAAATTTTAATTTAATCTTTCAATTTTATAAATTATATTTTTAATCTGTTAATCTGACATTGTTAGTTTAAAATAATTGTTTTTTATTTCAATTATTATTTTATAAAAATTAAACTTCATACGTCAACATTTAAGAATATTATCAATATTTAAAAATTTAATATAAAAATTTGTTAGAATAAAATTAACTATGTTAAGTTTAAAGAATTAAAAAGACACTTTATAAAATTATGGACTAAAATGAAACGTATGAAATTAAAACTAAATATATACTTTAACCAAAATATATAGTTGATATCACATGGCATGTTCAGATTGGGAGAAAAAGAATGCAGTATATGCTTAGATTTAAGTACGAAAAAAATTGGCCTTGATTAGAAATCTTCTCTCTATTTATCCTGAACCTACAAAGGGAAATGCTCTTATTGCTGTGGTATTAAGAAAAGCAGCAACGTTTACACCACAGACCAATGCAAGCCACCAAAGTTGTGGCATGCATTTTCAAGCACTTGCAGCACTCAATTCATTCACAACACATCAAAAAAGATTGACACCCCAGTGTTGACCCTTGACCTAATAAATAAATTGCGCATCCTGAACCCGTTTGAGTTTTTTTTCCCCCATTTTTTTACCTGCACCCGTTTTCGAGACCCTTTAAAATCTCTGCAAAGCAAGAAATAAAAATTAGATCAGCAGAAAAGTTTTAAGACATGACGAAATGACAAGAGCGTTGCAGAATCATACATGTACAATGTATAAAAAAACCGTAGGTGAGTGTGCCCCTAGAAATTGCTCAGATCTGGCAAAAAGCCAAAAAACTAAATTCTGGGAGTCGACAGAGACGAGATTGTTTGTGCACTAGAATTTGGAGGTGGCTCATCTCTCAATCCCTTAGTGAGAAGATCATAGTTGATTGATGCAAGCTGGGAAAGATTCTGAAAACCCAAGGGAAACATTCATAATGAAGAGGGGTAAATGATAAAAAAACATAACATGCTAGACAAGCCGGGGCTTGAGATGCTGCAAAATTTGACTTCATTCCTACTAATACTTGAATATGCATTTGGTTAGATCATAAAGAAAGCATAATATACTTTACGTGAGATAATTACCTTGAAGGAAAAATTACTGAAGGAGTAATTGATAGAGGAACCAGGCTCAAACCCTGCAAGACCACCACATTCATCCCCCTGCTTATAGGTTTTCCCAAGAGTAAGTCAGCCCACAGTAATTAAAAAGATAATTCAACAGTGTTCATTTAAACCTGATAATATCTATAAATGTGTATACCACTTCATCTTGACGATTGCTCAAGCAACTACTACTACCACTTAAGCTATCACAATCACTGTATTCATCTATATCACTAGCTGGATAAACGAGGCCATCAGATGCATTCCATGAATAGCGGCTTGTGAAATAACTAGTGTCCAGAGCACTATCAGAAGAAGGCACAAATGCAGCCTGCAAAAACAATAAATGCCTTAAGAATTCTACCCAAGACATTCACATCAAATATGAGTTAAACCATTATGTGAAAGGAGTTCATACTTTCTGCCGGGCAAGAGTATCCCAGTTTATATCCTTGAAGAAAATATGCTGCTTCACCTGGATCATACAGACGTGTATTACTTTTGACATTTTAAGGTTTGGCAAAAAAAGAAAAAAGAAAAAAGATAAACTATATGATTATCTAGAGAATTTATTGCACCTCCGATGCTCCCCTGGCTCCAAGTCTCTGATTAGGATCTTCAGTCAGTAACCTAAGAAGTTCAAATCTCAATCACTAAACATTTTAAAAAAGAATTAAGAAAAAAATCCAGTTATCTTGACAGAGAGTGCAACCACTGGACTGACAAAGAAAATCATAAAATCTCCAATGTGAAAAGGTGCCTCAAACTTAAAGAAGCTTGGATTGATAGATTGATAACATTTGGATTTCAGTACAGCAAATAATAAGTTAAGCCCTAGAACTAGAAGAGACATCATTACAGATCTTTTAAGAAACAGACAGTGAAAGTTCAATAATTTTGCAAATTTCTCCACTAAATGGGAGAAATACTTACTTTTGGTCAAGTTCCTAAGGACAAATTTCACTAAAATAATGTGAGCTAAGGTAGCAAAGGTAACATTTACAAGACCAAGCAGCAAATATCAATCAAAGATACTAAAAACATCACATACAAGAGATCAACAAGCCAAAAACCAAAGACTTACCTAATCCCTATGATAAGAACAGTGAAACAAAAAAACAAGTACAATGAAAGGTAAAATATTATATTACCGATCAATAAGATCTTGTGCTTCAGGACTCATTTCTTCTGGCACCCGGGGCCATGGTATATTACGATTAAGGATATTATCAAATATCATCTATAAACACAAAAACAACCAAATCTTCCAGTGAGAACCTTTTCATTTCAAGTTTGTTACTGTTAATCACAGACAATTAATTCGGCAATTTAAGTATATAGAACAATATAATGTCAGAAGACCACATTATCTCCCAATGCACCAAAGGTTAACCAAGATACAAAAATAATTTAGAAATCAAACACAATTACAGGGAGAAAATAAAACTTGAGAGGCAACCGGATACAGATTGAGTAACCATATGAGGATGGCATTATGCAATCTAATTGAGTAGTATAGCTTAAATTGGCACCATCATGAAAAAACAAGATTTTGCACCATGAATAATGCCAGCAAGAAAAAATGCTGACAGATTAAAAGCAACCGGAAAAAAGTCACATTTGTCATGCAAATTTATCTCCAGCAACTAAATGGATGTGATTCGTTATAAGGGAAAAAAAAATTGACACCAATGACAGGGAGAGAAGAAAACTTGAGAGGCAACCAGATATATCGATTGACTAACAGGAAGTGGAAGGCCTAATGCGCGCTTCAACTGAATATGATTACTTAAATTGACACCATCACCAAATAACAAGGTGTTGAACAACATAAGAACAATGCCAAAAAGACAACGTTGAAAAATAAAACCCAAAAAAAAAAGGCCACATTCATCATGCAAATTGATCCTAGGGAATTAACTTGGTTGCACTAATCAATCATGGTACTGTATACATCCACAAAAGTGATGGAAGCAAAGGTAAATGCAAAACAGGGAAACTGAAACAGGGATCCCATATATAGATACACATCACACAAAGATGTGGGGTACAAACCTGAGGATGCTCTGCATTGAAAGGTGGAATGCCAACAAGCAATTCAAATAAAATAACACCAACAGACCACCAATCAGCAGTATACCCTGCAAAATTTGCACAAATACTTATTCATGCAATGTTTATAATAATAGATACAAAATATGTATATAGCATAAGCTTCATCAGTATCCAGTATAACTTGGGAAAAGAGTTCAGTAACTCCAAAAGAGTCTGGTAGTTATATCAACTAACGCCTATCAAGTAATTTCACTGAAGGGGCAAATATCTTTCCAGTCTGTGTTCAGCATCATTAAGTGTGTGTGTAGTTTTTAATTTGTCAAAAGTCCATTTGCTGAAAGTTCATTCTACAAAAGTTAGTTTAGTGAAAATCAGTTGCCAAAATGAAATTTGTGTTTAGATACATTTTTTCAAAAGTCAGTTTAGTAAACTGAAAGTTATTTGAATTAATGATAATCGTGCTTTTGAAATGTACTTTTGAATATATAATGACCAAAAAAAGTCATTGGTTTATGATAATTGATAATTTTTGTTATACAAATATAATATACTCGAAATGTTTAAAAAATTAAAATGACATAAAAATTTAATATGTTAAATAATAAGAATAAAAAATATATAGTTTAATATTAGAAAAAATTAAAACATAACGAGGGTATTATGATCATTTATAAAAGTAGGTACAACCCAACTCCCGTTTGCAATTTCAAATCCACCAAAAAATAGAGTTGGCGAACCCACATTTCAACTCATTTAAAAAGTCATTTTGTTCACTTAAAAATTACCTAGACAACATTTAACATCCCAAAAGTTGAAAAGTGGATTTCAAATGTCAAACCTTGATTACCCAACCGCACCCTAAGTTCTTTCCAAACATCATCATCAAGATAATGTTCCCTAATAACGAGAAAAGTCCAATCGATAACTTAAGAGGCAAATAAAGTTGAAAAAAACTTGGCAATTTAAAATGGAAAAAAGGTCTATACAAACCATGGCCAGTTCCCAAGAGAATCTCCGGTGCTAAATAATCAGGCGTACCCACAGCAGAACGTTTCTTCCTTCTTTCACTTTGATGCTCAGATGTAGATAACTGAGGTTCATCATCACCGAGTAGGGATGTCCCACTCACTGCTGGACCAGACAAATCATCAGTGCTGTTGATTAGACCTACTTTTGAAAGCCCAAAATCCGTCAGCTGCATGAGTAAACAAACAATATTGAAGTTTTGACAAGTTGACAATTGTAACACCAGTATGTGTAGAATTTATTCAAGAGGGACCCGAGAATATATAAAAGTTAAAATTCAAAAGCATGCCACTGTAGCTTAAAAGATGTATAAATTTTATCTATCATTTAAAGCTTGATTGTTAAGGTCAAGTGAGAATTTTAAAACTCGTTTATCACCTTCCATGGGAACTCACAAAGCCACAGACCAGTTATGTTGAGAGAAAGCATGCTTCAGTAGAAATACATAGAGTTTGGCTAAACAGATATATAACAGATAAAACAATGATATTGAGCCAGAATCCTATACCCAAGTCAAACAAAGTCAACATAAATGTAATCCAACCAAAAACATTTAATTTTTGAAGTTTAAAATGGAAGACTGCTGAAATCAACTCCAAGTAAATGAAGATAAAGATAATATTTTTTGAAGTAACCTTAATATGACCATCATGAGCAATCAACAAATTGTCAGGCTTCAAGTCACGATGAACCACCCTAAGTGAATGCAAATATTCCAATGCAAGCACCTGCAATTGGATAGAATATTAAAGACGACTGTATTATTGTGTCATGTCCTTTCTGTTATTGCCAGAGAGACAGAAAGAGGATCAATAAATACCACTTCAGCAATATATACACGAGCAACCTCCTCATCCAGGCAGCCCAGATTCCTCAATAATGAATAGAGGTCACCTCCATTAAGATATTCCATGACAAGATACAAGTTCTCACTGCATGTAAATGAATAGAAGAAACGAACCTAATACAAATCATACTAATGTTAGCACAATTTCCAATCCTCCAAGAATAGAATAATTAGCATGTTAGACCTGCTCACCACAAAAGGATTGCGCACTGTAATTAAGATATCACGTTCTGCTAATATACTTTCCACAGCATTCTTACGGATCATGTCTGCCTTCTTAAGAACCTGTTATGAAATGAGAATGATATTGTAAGGGACTAAAGAGTAAAGTATGTATTAAAAGAATAGAAACAAACTAACCATACAATAAGAGATAAGGCCCAATACAGCCAAGCACCAAATTCATCACATCAAATTACCTCTATGGAAACACAGAAAAATGCATATAGGTGAAAAGTACTAAATAATTTCAGGAAGCAATCAATAAGAATTCATGTATAGACTTAAAATACATAGGCACACACGTACAGACTCACATGACACCAGCAATGGGAAGGATGAAAAATATAATAACATGACCATCTGCAAAATGCTGATCATAAAGAAGCATTCCACAGTCACTGTTTCCCAATTCCCACTCATCAGCACCAAAGCCTAACAACTTACTATTTTCCAAGATAAAGTGATTACATTCAACAAAAATAGAACTGACAGCTAAAGATCATAAAAACGGAAATATAAACAAAGGGAAAGTTTTGCTCAAACTCCACACAAACACCCTTCAGCTTCAGGTCACCAAACATTGCTTATACAAGGCATAGAAGCAGCATAAAATATAATAACCTTTATTGCAAAAAGATCCCCAGTTATTCTCTTTTTAGCCAAGAAAACCCGTCCAAATGCCCCCCGACTGATAGGTTTTATAATCTCAAAATCATCAATTGTTGTACGGTCCTTTGAAGGATGGATAGGGCTCGTTCTCAAGCTACGAACCACATCATCATCCAAGGGAGCATCTTCATCAATAACAGTACTCGTTATGTCTATCTTTTCATCTTCCACCATCTCAGTAAGCTGCAAATACTTCTCCCTGCCAAAAACCAATCTTCAACAAAAGGTTGCAGAAAACAATTTGAAAAGGCACAAGTAGTCAAGTACAACCACAGAAAATTGCAAAAACTTGGCTTAACTTTTAACAGGATGCTAATTAGAGATTTCAAATAGCCAGTGGCTAGAGACACATAAGGGGGTTTCAGCATATGGAGTCTAGTCATAAAATCTCTTGGTTATTCTATTGGATAATGAGGTTAAGACCTCATCTTTGAACATTTATCCCTGTTGTATTTAGTAAGAATTCACCAAAATTTGTATTCACTAATAATCAAGTGCTGCTGCATATAATTGACTTGAGTGCTTTCCTTTTACTAGGTGTTGAGAAACAATACATGCGGAACTCCTAGTGGATAAGAAGTTTATTGATATCTAGATTCTTATAGTTTATTATCGTTTATGTGTATAATTAACTTTTATTATTATCTTTTGGAGCTCATTGCATTGTTAATCTTTATCATCACAGTATTACAACGATAAGGGTTGCCAGCAAGACGTGTGTAGCCTACCCATACATATTTTTGTTCTTATCTTAAATTTGAGCCTTGTTTTGAGGTAGAAGAGTAGCATTAATGACGTATACTTTTCAGGGTCAGAGCTCTGCAACTTTTTGTCAACCAGAACTGTAGATTTGAGCAATCGAATAATTCTATTCCATCAGAGAATGTACAGGACGATATATACTGATAGTGGGAATCAGAAATCCCAAGAAAATAGGGAGAGAATCAGAAAGAATAATGCATGGTCAACCTCCGCAAAATATCCTTCCTACATATGGCAACTAAATTAAATACAATATATCTAATATTTGCAGGAGAGATATATGGCTTACCAACAAGAACAGATTCCAGTAACTGAAAAAATTCCAACAAGATCCTTTCAGTCCTAAAATCCCTAGTTACCTAAAGTTTTTCATTGGTTGAGATCATAATTGTTTGATTGGTTTTGCAGTTAACTTTCTACCGCAAACTTGTGAGGTGCTGGTAGAAGCTTAACTCAAGTTGTCACACCCTAAGTTGTTACAGTAGTTGTTAAGCGGCAAGTTAAAGTTTGAGATAGTTATTCAATGGTTAAACTTAAAAGAAGCACGCAGACACACAGCACTTGGAGAATAGAAACTAGAATTGCAAGTTAACAGGTGTTGCAGAAAACAACCCAATCTGTGGAGACCAGTGGAAAGAAGATTGAGGACTACTCAAAAGATGCAAATTAAAATATTCTGAGAACTTTTCCTTGTCACTTCTCAAGAATGCCATTATAGGAAGTATTAGTTGATATCAATTTATTGAGTTACGTTTAAATATGAGAGGAACATTATGAGTTATGGTGCAAGTGCAATGTTAAGTGCCTCAATCTAGGTACATCATAATTTTTAAAATTTAAATTGGGATTCAGCATCTAGGTGCCCTACTCCAGATATGTTCTATATTTAAATTGGATGCAGATATGTCTGAATATGTCCCATTTTTTAATTGAGTTTATTTGGAGATTGTAACAAGCTACAGACTGTATAATCTTCAGCTTAAGGGCCAATGCTGAGAAACCTATCTAAGTGGAACTCTCAATGGATTAGGAATTGATCATTATCTACAGTCTTACAAGGGTATTATTCTTTAGAAGTCTCAGCTATCCTTAATCATTATCTCTAGGAGCATATCTTATATTAATCTCTATCTTCCAAGTGCTATAAAAAAAAAAAAAAAAAAAAGATGAGAGAGGGCTACCAGAGTAAGGCAAGTGTGTGAGCATTGAGCAACATTCCAATTTGTCATATCTTAATAATAAATTTTACAATGTGAAATCACTGCCACATATACAGACACAAAGTACTAACCGTATCAACTTCTCAATGCGTGCTCCAAAGGTCTCCACTGTAAGTGCATCAAATTTTCTTCGGTCTAAAACAACTTGCAAATCATCAAGACAAGATAGTAGATATGACGTTGAGCGATCATCATCCAAAGGAGCATTTGCTACACACCGTGCTATATCAGCAAGTTCATTCATCTACAATTTCCAAAAAGGAGTATCTTGAGAAAATAGACTAACATAAACTCATAGTTTAGTATGAGAAAACACAAAAAGACCACAGTTCTCTGAAGCTCGTTTCAACTTTCAACAATAACAACAACAATAATGCTGACTTATCAACCAAAGACTGAACAAAACAAAACTTTACAATGTCAACCTCTAATCCACAAATTCTTCTCATAACAATCAAGAAAGATCATTTTCGAAGTGGCAACCACTATCCCTTTGATGTCCAACAAAATGAATCTTTGTTTTGCTTAGTTATCAGTGGCATGCCATGGAGCAGTACTATAGGCATTGCAAGTTTCATATGGCACATGCTCATGTGCCAAACGATAATGGTAAGTTAACCTGCCCTTAGCTCTCACCATTACCACTACAATGTCTCTTCACATCTCACCATTACCGCTACAATGTCTCTTCATATCACACTGGAGTTGTTATGTTGGTCAGCACTTCCATGTTGCATATTGGCTTCAGGAGTACCAATGGGGAAAGTGTGCTGCACACCATCAACCATGTGTCTTACTCAAATCAACTACTTAAATTAACCACTGAAACCAACTTCCACACCACTCACATCCATTCATATCCCCCTTTTCCCTAAGTTCATCTTCACATGCTTCTTAGTCCTTGAATTCTTTCATGGCCAAGTTCATTAGACTAAACACCACTACCTTATATGCATGAATATATATATAAATCACCAAACATCATGCCCACACAAGCACATATATAATAAGTTGGTCAAACATTGCAGACAAAACATGGAGAAGAAAGGGCATGCCTGTGGAAAATCATCATGCTCAGAATAAGCGCCCTTGCCTGCCAAGAGTAAATCAATCTGACTCGTCCTTGGCGTCATTAAGGGAGACCTAGGAGTAATGCTCCCTGCAGATGAAGTTGCCATACCTTGGTCAGACTTTGGACCAAAACGAGTTTTACATGATATCGGAGGTAGTGCCTTGAGGTCATCCATAAAAGCAGAATTATCAGCTTCAGGGAAGCAGTCTAACATATCCTCTGAGCCTCTTCGAGACCAATCACTAAGTTTTGGAGAGAGAACATCAGATTCTTCAGTCATACTTGAATTTGACACCTTTCCAACATCAGGACTTCCCACTATTTGCTGGATATCCTTTTGCATACATGATTCCATCATCTTTTCTAAAGTGTCAGCAATTCTGACAAGCCGCTCATTTACACTCAGACCCTTCTGATCACATCTATCAGCAATTGCACAAACCCTTGAATGTTCTTCAACATGCAAAGTAGGAACTTGCTCCTCACATATACGACAGATTATTGAGTTCTCCTCAACCATGCCCTGATGATCACCCCAGTAGCCCCAAGAAACTTTGTGTTGGTGTTTGGAAGCATGTTCTTGGGTATCTTTAATAAGCTCAGATGGCTTAGCAGCTGACAGATCTGCATCAGAATTTGATCTCTTATTAATTGATAGCTTTGAAGGTTCAACCATTCCAAGATTCTGGTCCTTCAACTCAGCTGCTCCTTTTGGGCTTTTACTTGTTGGAGATAGGAATTTCTTCCAAGCAGCAATCCGATCCATGCTTGAAAAAGAATCTTGATTTGAAGCATCACCAGCACGATGAAGAAGTTTTTCTGGCTGCATAGCATCTTTCTTCAATTCCAAGCTATGTTGCTCCTGACTATAAGACTTTTTATTAGAAGCTTTTGACACCTTTGAGGCCTTCGCTGCAGTCAAACTTTTTCCATCCCTTCCCAAACCAGGAGTAATCCGTTTTTCAGCAGAGTGCAAGACTCTAGAATGATGGAGATTCAAAACATGCTCATCCTCTGCCAAACCACTTTCCTTGTGGAATTGCAATAACCTTGTACATCTTGTGAGAATGAACAGCATTCGAGTGTGAAGCCGTTTAAGCATTCCAGGAGGAAGTTCTTGACGTTTATCATCCAATTCCTGAACAATTCCTTCACATTGAAGCCAAAACTCCCCAGGTGAAGTCATAGCACAGCTCCTAGCCAAAACTAGCAAGTCCTCAATTGTCTCTTGCCACTCAGGATGAGTATCTGCATTTTTCTCAAGAATTCCAACCAGATCAGCTGCAAAAATAGCCAACTCAGAATTCACTTCTTCCTTTTCTTTATCAAATTTTGCCCGAATTATAACCAAGATCTCCTGCAAAGAACAGCAAAGTGATTAAATTACATTCTTCTCAAAACAAATGCACCTCCTACAGCAAATTGCAAGAAATGAAATCTAAAGTGTAAAGTACCTCCAAGTTATTTAATCTTCGAGCCTTCCAAAATGGAAAAGGACGAACAACACCTTTGGAGTTCAGCTCATGAGAAAAACTTTTAATGTCATTAGGAAACCTCTTTCTCGGTGCACTAGTAACACGTAACAAAGCTTGAAAACGAGGAGATTCAGACTCCTTTGGGTTTTCATAATCATATGCTGTCTGGAAAGAAGGAAGGAAAACTTACAGTCATAATATATTAATAAGTACTGTACAGCACTAAGCAACTCATTGAGGCAAAAGTTAAATGGATCAAAAGTAACTAAGAAAGACAGTGCATAAATCTACAGTACCTCTGGAGTGCAAGCACCTGCACTTCGTAAGCATTCAGATTGAACCTGCGTCGATTCTTGTCTCCCTCCTGGATTAGGAGATATGATTTAAAAAAATAGAATTTAGAGAAATGGTTAAATTGAAGACTTGACAGTTATTTCAGTGGAAAAAAAAATACAGTAACAATGAGAAGCAGCTCAGCAATTGCTAGTGGATAAACCTCAACAGCTAACAACTACACAAGAATATACACTGCAAACATGACAACGAATACTAAAACAAAATAACATAAGCTTTAACTCAAAGGTAATATCTAGCCCTGTATATAGCATGTATAGAGTGACGGAAATAAGGACAAGAAGGATGCCTACTTCGTATGAGAAGACATCTCAAAGTACACAATATTCTTCATGCCCCAATGAGAAGACAAGTGCAGTATCTCATAGGACAACTTTAAACCATGTTAATGTGAATATACCAACTGCAGCAGGATAACATGACAACAAAGACTCTCAATTCAAATGTTCTGCATTGTGTTTGTTGAGTAAAGATTTTAATTGCGGAAGAGTACTTGATATTTTCTTTATCACATGTTATGATAAACAATGTTAGATTTTCAAATTTGGGACTCACTTGGTTCAATTGCATTACTTTCTTGAAGTTAATATATGAATTCCTTGGTTACTTTTTTATTTCCCAGGAAGTTACAATTATCTTTTTAAAAAAATATAATCCCCCAAATCCTTAATATAAGGCAAACTTTGAAAGCTTTTTTTAGTTCTTAATATAAAGTAAAGTTAGAGTAATTAATGTTTCTTCCAATTTTACCCCTTGTTCATTTATTATCATTTGAATTCTTAGACAACAATTTATTGTGGTTATTAATTGCAAAGAAGGGCAAAATTGAAAAGTTACATATTTTTTAACAATTTTAAAAATATAGCTATCATTTCTTAATAAGCATGAAGTTGGTTAAGTTTGTCTTGTATTAAGGACTGGAAGGAGTATATTATTTTTTTTTAATTTGAAAGACAATATACTAGAGAAGTAGAACTTACCTAGGTATTGCTCGGTAAGTTACTTCCCTAGTTGTGAGGGAAGCAAGAGTCTTAACTTCCTGGAAAGTTGAAACTTTTAGCAAACCAAGCAAGATATATGTCCATACTTCCAAGAAGTATGACTTCCCCTCCCTACATACCCATAAGCAAACGACCCTTTAGTTGATTGTTTGATATTAGGGATGGTATGCACCAAGTTATTTTTTTTTTTTTAAATTCCTTGTCTAAATCCAAAACATAAATTCGCCATCAGAGCCCTAGCTAAATACCAAAAACTGTTATACTTCTCATATTTACACTGAAAATGCACCATGTCCAAAGTATTTGAAACTCACAAATTACCAATGCCCATGTTCATATTTCAAAATGCAGTTCAGCTAGATTTTAGACAGCTCTTTTGCAACTTTTAGTTAATATTTGTGAACTTCAAAAGCATTAAACTAACCAAAAGAAAGAAGTAATAAATGGAGTCAGTGATGAATAAAACTATAATATATTCTACAGACAATTACCTACATTCATGTCAATTATTATCCATTTATACAGATTTCAGATATCAGGAACCCACAAAATCAATACGGATATCTAATTTTAATATCCTGGCCATATGTCCTTATACGCTAATTTATTAGATCGGATATTGGATATTTGTTTCGTTGGGATATCTGAAAAACCTGCCACATTGCCTTGTTCAATTCTGTAGGAAAGTTCAAGACACTTCTAAGGTAGGTTTTCGGGAGAGCATTATTACTCAACAATTTGAACTTTCTCGCCTTTGGTGATCCATATTTCAATTTGATACCTCATCATTTAACCAATAAAATCGATAATCAAATGCACTCAAATGTACAAATTCCCACAAATTAAAGTTTTGGAAAACAATATCTTTTTGCCTGATTCATTTTAAAAAATCTGTAACAACCTCGAAAAAGACTATAGTTTCTCTGCAGCTTCTGCTCGTAAAAACGTTTGACAATTTTCTTTGAAAGGAAAGCGCATGCCTCCACACACATCTTTAAACCAAGTCAAAGATCGACATGAAAAATGCACAGCCTAGCGCATAATGAACTCAGTGGTAAATTTGGGCGCAGACGAGACATTCACAATTGGAAATGAGCAAAAATGTAAAAATAAGACTCATGTCACAGAAATCGAGATAGAATGCAAACCTGATCCGGATGACGATTCTGCGTTCTGTAGCCGCGACCGTGGCAATACATTAGGGCTCTGGTCCCTGGACGGAGCACTCCCAGTTGACATACTATCCGAATTGCTTCCATTATCAACCCAGTTTCCACTTCCAAAGCTCTCTTGAAACGCCACTTTACGGTAATTAACCGGCTCCTTCATTTTTCCATCATCACTACCGGGCTTGGAGAGATTACTCACACCAAGTGTCGACCCTTTATCATTCCTAAAGCCGAAGAAGCTCTCCTGTGGCAGTGGTCCTGATCTCGTCTTTATCCTATTCAATCCGAGGGAAGATGCTAAAATTGGCGAAACCGATGATGAGGACGATTCCTTCCCACTAGCAGCACCCGCCGCCGCAGCAACCATCTTCGACTTCAACCCAGAACTCGCTGACAAACTGGAAACCAATTCCCCACCGGAGCTTGGCTTCGACGATCTCCCGCGGGACTCTTGCTGAGTCTGACTGTCGTTTCCTTTGGCATCCTTCTTCTTAGTCCCGTACATCAGTTGCGTTGGGCGGCAAGCATCGCCGAAACCATTGGCACTGGCAGTCTTAGCGATCTGGGAGTCCTTAGCAGTTGATTTGGGCTTCTTCTTGTCGGATCTACTGGGGGAATTGGAGCCGAATGATTGGGGGCTACTGGGTGATCCATCGGGGCTGGAAGAGTCGGATTTCTTGAAGTTGAAGAACCTGCCTTTGAAGACCATTGTCGAGGGAGCAAGGTGAGAAGAAGAAAGTGGGGATATTGGTGCAGCCCTAGCATAGATGCAGGGCTGCAGAGACTGACATTGATGAAGAAAGTGTAGTTTTTGCACAGTGCGCGAACAAGGAAGTTGTTCTGGAAAGTGAAAGGTGGTTGTCTCCTTCAAAAGCTTGGATTTGTGGACTGGGTTGATAAAATATATGACTTCGTGAGGAAAGGGGGCGAACGACCCTGAAAGAGCGAATTGACCAAACGAGGTGGAAATCTTTCAGGACAGGGCAGAATGAGAGCCGCTGTATGCGAGAAAATGTCCTTCAATGCTACAGCAATTTTAAATTATTCCGTAAGAATATAACAATAACATTTTATTTTTTAAGAAAATATTGTGAAAAAAAAATGAAAAAGTACATTAGTAATTTTTTGATGAAAAGTACATTATTATTTTAAATTATTGTATGTGAGAAAATGTCCCTGAATACAAAATACAACAATTTTAAATTATTCCTTAAGAAAATAACGATAACATTTTATTTTTTTTAAGAAAATATTGTGAAAAAAAATGAAAAAGTACATTATTATTTTTTTGATGAAAAGTACATTATTATTTTTATTAGATTGTTTTATATTTGTATTAGTTTCTTAGAATTGTTACTTTGGTGATAATTAATTTTTTGAAGAGGTGATAATTAATTTTTTGAAAATCTTAACATTATTCAATATATATTTTTGGTAGGATAATAAAATTCAATATATAAATAATTTATCTTTAAAATTTCGGGCAGAAAATAGGGATGATAAAACTTTTAATCCCTTATTTTTGCTTTAATCATCAATTTGGTATGTAAAGTTTAATTGTTATCAATTTATTATTTAATCTATTATTTTTTAAGTTACCATGTAATTGATTTTAAACTTAATCTATCATATAAAGTATATTAATAACCTACCTATATATGGCTAAACTAAAACAAATTAGCATTTCATATTCTTCTCTATTTTTGCCTAAATAATTATTTTATTATTATTTTGCATAAATGTCAACTGAATAGCTTGAGACAAATTTAAAGAATTAAAAATTTCATTATCTCTAAAAAAAATAAAATATAATGTTGATCCCTCTTTCTGGTAAATTATAATCATCGTCGTATTAATATAAATATCAAAATAAAATATAAAGTTTATATTCAAGAACTGATTATTATTAGGTCAAACGAAATGAGTTCGATACTCCTTAAACAATATCTTAAATCCTAATATTTATAGATAAAAAAATTTATGTGAAAATAACTACCAATATTAAGCAAATGCTTAGAGATATTTGTCAAGTTAAAATGTTACTTATAGCATATAACAAGATATAGGTATGAAAAATTGCCAGTAGCTGAAAAAGAACAATTGGTGTTTCTTTGATAATTTATGTTAAATTCGTAAATTTCACGATATTGAATGAAATGAGTATCTTATTTTATGGTAAAGTGTTGTGAGATGGGGAATATATGCATTTTAGAAAAATAATATACCAAACAATCAGTACCACTTGAATAAGCAAGCGCGTTGCCTGCCATGTATTATGCAAATAATCAAATTCACTTCCACCAATTCAATAATTTCACGACACCACAATGCTTCTGAATTGACGACTCTGCGAGGTGTCATCATTGACAATGCAATTCTCCATTTCTCTTGTTTTCTCCTCGATCATCAGATCAATGCTTCAATGACTTGGGTTTAACATTTGATAAAATTATTATTTTAATTTTATATAAAAACATATAAATAAATTTAAACTATTAAAATCTGATCTAAACAATTTAAAAATATGATATTTTATTTGTATATTTTATGTGCAATTATGATGATAATAATTTTATTTTTTGTTCTTTCTTTTTTTTCTCTTCCCATTCAGAATGAGTGGGGATAATAATAATTTTATTACATATTAAATTAAAAATGTTAAAAAATTGAGAAAATGATAATAAAATTCTTCGAATTATATAAATAACAGTCTACTCTCTTAAAATACCTTAATTATATTTAAGTCTATAAGGATTTTTGTGTCAATAAATTTTAAATTGAAAATATCATTTTACCCTTATTGATAATTTGTAAGTTTTTGTTTAATTCTTATAATTTTTTAAATAAAAGTTGTTATTCCTTAAACAAAGATTGTGATTAGGGTTTATTATTTTAAAAATTTATTTTTTAATAATAGAAATTATTCTTGATAAATTGTGATTTTTTATTCAACTATTGCTATTCACAGAACAAAAGTTATTATTTTTTAAAGAAATGTTATGATTAGAGCTTGTAATTTTAAAGCAAAAATTACACTAGATAAGTTGTGTTATCTTGTTTGACTTTTTCAATTGACAAACTAAAAATTATTATTGTTGCTATTGAGACTTGTTATTTTCAATAAAAATAAAATAATTTTTTTGTTTTAAAATTTGTTAACAAATAAATTCTTAAAAACTTTAACAAAATTATGACATTTTAAAAAATCAGGTTGTTACTTACATAATTTAAAAATATTTTATTATCATTTTTCTTAAAAAGTTTTGGTCAGAAGAAGAGGGAGAAAATTGAGAATAAGAAAAAAAGCGACACCCTTAATTTGTAAGTCTGTGAACGGAATGGAAAAATAAATTGGTAAATGAGACTGATCTACAATCGGTAAATAATGTAATAATATTGTTCAATTGCGACTATATGAACTACGATAATTTTATGGAAGGAAAAAATTATGTAAATTATAATTTAGCCTCATTTATTTATTTCACTCTTGAGATACATTTTTGTGTATGAAAATATGTATACATATAATGTGTGTGTGTGTAATGTTTCACTAAATATCTGTGTGAAAACATTTCTTGATTAACCTTAAAAAATCAATACTGCCCTGCAACTTTGATACTTGGCACTCGAATTCATTATCTCTGTCATGGCTAAAAAATCATTTAGTCTGAAATAATTATATATATATATATATATATATATATATATATATAATCGTTGATAATTCACTTTCAAACATTGTAATTATTTGGACATAGTAGGCGACAGGTGTGTCCAGAAAAAGGTGCAGAAATTGGAATATGATTCCTATGATCTATAACAACTCAGATTATTGCCATATAAAGTTTGAATCACATTCACCTAATTACATTTTAACTAATTTGGAATATATGTTAAATGAAATGAATTAAAACAAAAAAATAATTTTTACACAAAAAATGTTCTTGGATTTTTTATTTTTAGAAATAAAAAATTAAGGTTATCATTAAACAATTAAGCTAAATAAAAATAAAGTAAATGAATAAATTACCTCATCAATTTTAAATCAAGTAGTACTATAGATCTTGAATTTATTTATTATATAAATTATTTTTTTAATTTTTAAAAATAGTACAATATGACTTCTGTTATTAACAAAAGTTAACTTTAATTATTAGTTGATGAGAAAATAACAGAAAAATATTAAAAATATAAAAAAACTAAAAAATTATAATAAAAGAACTAAAAATTATAGATAATAACCTAGAAAATTATAAAAAAAATCCAAAAAATTTTGTTCCTTTCCTGTAACTTTTTTTATATTATTTTCTATTATTTTATAATTATTTAATAGTTAAAATTAATTTTTATTAATTGTAAATGCAAGATTGTACCACTTTCAGATGATATTGTTTTCAAGATTTAATGAGACAATTTACATAATAAATAAATTTAAAGTCTATAATGCTATTGAATTTAAAATTCATGAAATAATTTACTCATTTACTCATAAAAATAAATAAATATTTACGCGTGTCACTGGATCTCTTTTACTTGAAACACAAACCTTCATTATCAAGTTTGGCCGGGATCTCTCTCATTAAGCAACTAAACGAGCCATTATATATTTATTATTACTTTTAATTCTAATATTTCCGCGTGATGCATGAGTTTTTTTTAATAAAAAATTTGAAACCTTAAGCTATAAAAATTGACAAGTTGATCAAGCTTTCAGCTTATTGGACCTAAATTTGCCCAGAAAAAAACTTTTCAATAATCGACTATCATCTGTGTTTAGGCATAAATTGGATTTTCAATCTCATATCATAAAAATCTCAAGATTTTTTTAAATTTTTGTATAAAATAACTGAAAAAATAATAAAATATTTTATTTCTCTTATGTTTAAAAATTCAAGCTGGGTGGTTTAATTGGAGAAAAGCTAAAGGAGTTATTTGTGACCGTAAGGTGCCTAATAAACTTAAAGGAAAGTTTTATCGTACTGCTATCAGACCGGCAATGTTATATAATAGTGAATGTTGGGCTCTAACGGGACAGCAAGAGCATAAAGTTGGAGTAGCAGAGATGAGAATGTTACGATGGATGTGCGTACATACACGTAAAGATAAAATTCGAAATGAGCACATACGTGAAAAAGTGTGGGTGGCACCTATTGAGGAAAAAATGGTAGAAAATCGGTTGAGATGGTTTGGGCATGTACAAAGAAGACCAAGGGAGGCACCAGTGAGAAGAGTGGAACATATAACTTTGAGTCCGATTAAGAGAGGTAGAGGAAGGCCTAAGAGAACACTCTTGGAAGTTGTTGAACGTGATCTCTTAATTAATAATATTTCTAAAAGCTTAATAAATGATAGAGCACAATGGCGTCTTGCAATCCATGTAGCCGACCCCACCTAGTGGGATAAAGGCTTGTTGTTGTTGTTGTTGTTGTTGTATGTTTAAAAATTTAAATAAACACCTAAGATTTCAATAAGTTAGTCGCAGCATAAAGAATGATAAAAGAGCAAATTAGTCCTTAAACTTTAGGTCATTTAATAGTATAGATCTTGAATTAATTTATTATATAAATTATTATGTTAACTTTTGAAAAAGATACAATTTAATTTCTACCGTTAACAAAAGTTAACTTTGACCATTAATTAATTAAATAATAATAAAAAAGACCTTAAAAATTATTAAAAAATAACAAATAAATTACAATAAAAGACCCAAAAATTATATACAAGAACCCAAAAAATCACATGAAGAACCAACTTTTTTTTGCTATTTTTTATAATTTTTTGATCATTTTTCAGTTAATTAATGATCAAAATTAATTTTTATTAATGATAAGTCGGTAAGGGTTATATTGCATTATTTTCAAAAGTTAAAGAACAATATGCACAATAAATAAATTTAAAGTCTATAGTATTATTAGATTTAAAATTTAGGAGGTAATTTACTTGTGTGTGTGCTAAAAATATAGAGGTATGATTTGATTTTGACATTACTTGATAAGGATTTAATCAATAATCTTGTTTGAAGTTTATGTGTTTTAAGGGAGAGCGTTCTTTTTTTTTTTTGATAAGAAATAGATGAGCCTAAACTCTAGACTCATTTACAGTACAAGTGCTATCCATGCAACGTCTAAGACTCTCCGTGGGAAAGCTAAGAATGTGCAATTCAGGCCACGCATCAAGAGCTTGTTTCGCCAAATGATCTGCAGCAACATTTGCATCACGAGAAATTTGACAAATTCTAATCTCCCATGCTCGGTGGATCATGCTTTGAATTTCCATAATTATATGATAGTCAGGATGTATAGAATAGTTGGTAACCTCTGTCAATGATATGGCTTCTGCTGAATCAGACTCCACCACGATTTTCCTAACTCCAGCATCCCAAGCAATCTTTAAGCCTATTAAAATAGCCCACAGCTCTGCTGATAAGTGGTCACCTTCATCTAAATGTAAGCTAAACCCTGTGATAAATTGCCCAGCCGAGTTCCTCAGCAGACCGCCACACCCACGAGTCTGTTGCGTCATCGAGAAAGCACCATCAACACAGAGTGACACCCAACTTGTCTCTGGAGGTTTCCATCGTAGGTCACAGTTCTGAATCCCATTTTTGTGCCAATTAATGGAACTTGTCTTTGTTTGAACCCTCTCCAAACAACTCATCATGCCCTTCGCCTGGGCAATAATACATTCATTGAAGCGACTTTTCCCCTCAAATATCCGTTCATTCCTTCTTTTCCAGATATTCCAGCATAGAACCATGAATAATCCATTGTTCATTTGAAACTCTGGTTTTTTACCCTGTTTCAAGTTCCAGCTAATCCAATCATCTATTGTTCGCAGATTAAAGAAGTCCCATTGATATCTAGTGTTGATCACAGACCCCCATAGCTGTCCTGTATCTGTGCAATCTCGAAGGACGTGCAAACTACTTTCAACTGCGCCATTGCACCACGAGCAAATATTATTCGCACTCATACTTCTCCTGAATCTCTCCTCGTTTGTGAGTAATCTGTTTTGGGAAGCTAACCACATGAAGGTCTTGCATCTATGAGGTGCCGTGACCTTCCACAGCTTCTTCCATTTATCATTCTCGCTTCCCCTGGATCCAGAAAGAAGATTGTAGGCTGATTTTATAGTAAAGGAGCCACTTCGATCCCATTTCCAACGCACAGAGGTGTTATTGTTGAACCACTGTAGCCCATCTTTGACGTGAACCCATGTATCTTTAATGCCCTTCCAAAGGTTAGATCCAGGTTTCTTTGTCTTAATCTTGGGGATAATATCACTCCCACACTTGTACTTTTCACGGATAACTCGCACCCATAAGTCTTCACGCTTCTTAATCAAGCCCCAACCGATCTTCATAGCATAAGCTTGGTTCTGGATAGACGCTCGTCGAAGACCTAGCCCTCCTTCTTGTTTTGGTCTGCAAACATCTTTCCATGCCACTAAATGTGTTTTCCTTGAACTCTCTGTGTGGCCCCATAAAAAGTCACGGTTGGACTTGTCAAGCGTTTCAAGAGTACTAGCGGGAAGATTACATGTTTGCATAACATATCCAGGGATAGCGTTCATGACTGAGGCTATCAGTGTCGCACGTCCAGCTAGGGAGAGAGTAGATGCTTTCCAGTTAGATAGACGCTTCTTCACTTTATCTACAGTGTCTTTGAATGTGTTTTTATCCACCCTTTTATGCAGAAGAGGCACACCCAGATAGCGACCAAGGTCACCAGTCCTACTAAAACCGAGTTTAGTGCTGATTTCTTCACGTCGAACATGATGCACATTTTCAGAGAAAAACATCTTAGTTTTCATAGCATTGATTTTCATTCCAGAGCTGGCACAAAACTTCCCCAAACACTCGTGTATAACATCAGCTTGTTGGATGGAAGCTTCTGCAAAAATAATGATATCATCAGCGAAACACAGATGCGACAAGGGAGGTCCAGTTTTGCCTAATCTGATAGGCTTCCATATTCCCTCCTCCATTTTTTCTAGAATCAGGTGGCCTAATTTCTCAAGGCAAATCACAAACAGGTATGGTGATAATGGGTCCCCTTGACGAACCCCCCTTGTAGGCTTAAAGATGTCCGCTTTGTTTCCATTCCAAATCAGCTGCATGGATGCCGATGTAACACAATTCATAACGACAGCCTTTATATGCTCTGGAAATTGCATTTCGTCCAGACATTGGTCTAAGAAACCCCAGTTTACTCGATCATATGCCTTTTCAAGATCAATTTTGATTGCCATAAACCCGCGCTTCCCTCGCATATTCCTCATAGAATGGATAACTTCTTGGACCACGATAATGTTGTCTGAACTATGTCGTCCTGGAACAAAACTACATTGATAAGGAGAAATGATGTTAGGGAGAAGAGGCTTCAGCCGCATTGTGATAATCTTCGTAATAACCTTAAACACCACATTGCATAGACTAATAGGCCTAAGATCTTTCAGGCTCTCTGGTGGATGTTTCTTAGGAATAAGAACAATCAAAGTAGAATTGATTGTGCTGATAGCTTGCGGGTTGAGGAACAACGATTTCACAAACTGCGTCACATAGGTACCCACATGCTTCCACTGACTCTGAAAGAAGATTGCTCCTAAACCATCTGGTCCTGGAGCCTTCAAAGCTCCCATACTATCAATAGCATCTTTGACTTCAATATCATTTACCTCCTTGCCAAGGTCAGCTAGGAAATCATTACCAATAGAGGGGAACTTTCTATAACATTCGAGCCTTGGTCTCCAATCGTCTTCTTCTGTGAAGAGTTTAGATAGGAATTCCGTAGCCATCACTTTGATTTGGTCTTCATCATAAACCCATTCTCCTTCATTGTCACGGATAGCATGCACTCGATTGGCTTTGCATCTCCCATTTGCAACACTATGAAAATAGTAGGTATTCTTGTCACCGTGAAGAATCCAGTTAACTTTGGCTTTTTGAGCCCAAATAATGTATTCTTGAAGCATCACCTCTTCTAACTCAGACCAAAGTTGACATTGGAGTTTGTCAAGATGCTCTGATTTTTTACCATTAGTAAGGGCTTGTGTGATACCATCCAAGCGGCGAATTAGCTTTCGTTTGCGGGTCTCGGTATGGCCAAACACTTCTCTATTCCACCTTATACAGTCAGCACTGAATGATTTGACTTGAGTTACCCAATCACAATTATTCTTCCATGCATTTGTAATGAAATCTTCAAAACCGTCATGGAGGACCCAAGCAGCAATGAACCGAAATGGTCTATGACGGCTAGTTTTGTCTTTACGATCTAATTGGATCAGGAGTGGCCTGTGATCAGACTTAAACCAAGGGAGGTGTGTAACCGTGGCATTTAAAAAAAGTTCTAGCCAGCTATGTTAGTAAGAGCACGATCAATACGACTCTCAACATTATTTCGTTTCCAAGTGAACATGGGTCTAAAGAAGCCTACATCATTGAGTTCAGCTTGTTCAAACCATGTTCGAAAGTCTCGATCCACTCCAGTTCCATGCCTGGCCATTGTTTGTCTCTCATCATGAAATAAAGTGGCGTTAAAATCTCCAACCACACTCCATGCTCCTTTGATAGTCGCACCAATCTGACGTAACTCATGCCATAAGCAGCGTCTCATATTTATGTTTGGACTAGCGTATACTATCGTAAGCCACCACTTCTCTTTCTTATGATTCTCAACAGTCAAATGAATAAATTGAGTCCTTTTCTCAATGATAGAAACCTGAACTACATTTGCATCCCAGAGCACCCAGATTCCTCCACTGTACCCAGTCGCATCAATCCAGTCAAACTCATTAAAGCCTAGCTTCTTTGCAATATTTTTAGCCTTGTCGCCACTGCATCGAGTTTCAAGCAAAGCTAAGAGATTAATCTGATAATTTTGCTTCATTTCACGGATAAGATTAGGAAACGTTTTTGAGCCCGTCCCTCGCGAATTCCAGACGACGTAATTCATGAGAAAATTATTGATTGTTGGAGTCACGTGACTCCATATTAGCATCCATATCCTCATTCTGATAGCTAGTTCCTTCATCATTTCGAATTTCCAATGCCTCAACACAGTTGTCAGAAAAATGCTCAATTTGGTCAACCCCCATGTTCACTTCCTCAACTCCTTGTACGATACCAGTATCTTGGCCTTGGTCATTCTTTATTAGGCCAGGAGTATTTCGTTCACATGTTATTAACGGGCTGGGCCCACTCTCAAAAATAGCAAAGGAATTTCTTGTAGCAATCTTTAATGTGTCCAATCTAGCATCATTATCCAGATTGTTGTTTCTTCCTCTTTTCCCCATAAATGGAGGCACCTTCTCTTTCCCACGTGATTTGCTTTTAGCCTTTCCCTTCCTTTTATCTCCTACACGGGCCCACTCCTCATTATTATTATTTATACTTAAATTCCCATGATTCCTTTTTTGGCTTCCCGTGAACTCCTCAATTATAGCCTTTTTCTTTTTCTCTTCTATCCCACCATTAATATCCTTCAATAACCCAGATTTTCCTCCCATAATTATACCATCAGAGATGATATTGCGCCTAGAATCTCCACCATATCTGTATCCCCGAAATTGGCGCTTAACTAGCATCTCAGGCCCGTAACCGTTAGCCATCATCGGTAACTCTATCTTCTCAACCGGAATATTCTTCTCTGCCACAGGAACCTCCTTCTTCGCCGTCGAATTCTCCATAGCCACCTCCTGCTTGCATGTATTAGGATCTGTGATATCTACGTAATCACCATTCCCAGTGTTTTTGTCATTCCTCAACATATCCGGATCGGGTTGTCTTTCCTTCTTGTGCAGCTCGCACTTTTCAGATGTATGACCATACATTCCACAGCAAAAACACACCAGATGTAACCCTTCATAAACAATTCTGAGATCCTCTCCGAAAGCCGTGAAGAATGGAAGAAGCTGTTCCCCAAGGTTAAGTTCCACGCATATACGAGCAAAACCTCCCTTATCATAAATAGATGTAGACCTGTCAATCTTCAGGGTTCTGCCGATCATGTTCCCAATGCGTCGAAGTGATTCAACACTATAGAATTCCACTGGCAGGTCTGGAATGCGTATCCATGCCGCAATTTTGCGTGTTTTGTCAGCCTTCCAGGGGTTAAAGTTGGGTCTCCATCTTTGAACCAGTAAGTAGTGATCATCTATCATCCATGGCCCCTCCTGATAAGCAAAATCAAGATCTTCTCGACTTGTGAATGAGACTATGTAGTACCCGTTGCTAAGCCCCATTACTTTGATGGGCTCCTGTGTCCTCCACATCCTAGGTAACCATCCCCGCAGTCTGGCCGTCGAAATCTCATGGCCTAGAAGTTTCACAATGAGCGAGTTCATCCATGGTCTGCACCATGCTTCATATTCCTCGGGTGTGAACTGTAAGACAGGCCATTTTGATTCCTTCATCCCCCCACCTATCTCTTCATCCTCTGAGTTTTCTTTTCCACCATCAGCCGAACTAGCGTTCATAATCTCAAAGTAGTTCTTCCATCCGTGCATAATGTCTTCATTTGCATGATTCTGAGATAAAAAGCCTGAAGAGTTTACACTCATAAGAGATTCCTTATATGATAAACGTCCTCTTGTTGGTGGCTTACTCTGATCCACGTCGGACTTTTGCCTTCCTCCAGCTTGGAAAACAAAATTTTCTTTCCCCCGTCCCTCCTTGCCTATATTCTTCCCCTCACCCCCACCATCTGGGGGCCGTCCTTCGGCACCACCTCCACCGTCAAGCACTCCTTTCCCCTTTGGCTCCTTTACGCTCATTGTTTCTAAGGGAGAGCGTTCTTAACAAACTATGCAAGTAAAACTAAACTCAAGGAAGACATAGGATTAATTGATAAGAGCAAACCAAACCATCATTGTGTGTAAGATTTCAAATAAGGCCAAAAGCTACTTCCAAGTTGAGGGTTTGTAATAATGGGATCATTGAGCACGTGAGAATCAAACTTTTTCGAATCTTGACCGCTGTTGTGGGGTATATTTTGTTAGATTAGGTTAGCAGTAAAACTTTTTCAACGAATATTTACCACACAACTACATTTTGAAAACTCAAATTTAAAACCACTATTTAAATTTAACACAACTCTTTATCAATTAAACTATATACCCAGTTGGTTATAATTGACTTTGTTATTTAGCTATGCAATTTTATGATTTATTTATATAGTGTGTATATACTTAGTTATAACATATTTACCTAATCTTTAAAAATATTCAATTACTTTCAATATTCTTTTTTGGACAGAGTCACATAGTATCAAACCCCATCCCTACTTTTTACATCATTTATAGCCTAGACTGTGCAAGAAAGAAAGTGAATTGGGACACATTAGAAAGTAATAAATCCTGACAATTTGTGGGAGGGTTCTCTAAAATTCTAATCTCAGGGTATTGTTTTGACAATTAATAAGTAAGCCAATTTATATATCTATTTGCTTCTCTAAATGCACACTCAATAAAAATGATCAAGCTTTCCTTTAAAAAAAATTTATATCTCCCTGATGAGGGAATATATCTAGGAATATTTATTATAACAAGGTGAATAGCTTCAATTGTAACTGTCGACTTGATTATGTTTTTCCTCCCAACAAAAGTTTAAACCTTTAAGAATAGTGAGCAGTTCGGTCGTAGTATTAAAATGATATCCAAAGCATTTATTGAAACCTATAAACAAGAAATAAGAAGAGTTTGAATTTGAATACAATAATTAATAATTAATAAACAGAGCCTTGACTTGAGAAGATCGAGTTTAGATATAATAGATGGAACTTTGCCATTAAAGCCATCTATTAATCGTACAACCAAAGCATTCGGATATACATGATTTGTTTAGGCATTTTCATTATAGCAGGCAAATTGAATTAAACAAACTTTTTGATTATATTGAAGATTTGAGGGTTGAAGCACAAGAAATCCTTTATCAGTTTTTCTTTTCTAAATTAAAACACCAAGATTCCGAAGAAGTCAAAAACAAAACCAAAGAACAACTTTAAAGTTGCAAGAAGGGAATGAAGAATTTCAAGACAATGAGGTATAATAACCTTGCATGTTTACTATGAAAAGACCTTAGTGTATACAACTTTGCTACAGTGGCAAAATGAGAGTTTAAAAATCTAGAGCTTAACATAAACTGTGCATTTTGTGAGGAACAAAATCACTAAAATATCCTTGAATCTATGTGTATAAAATCTTACGGGCAATTGTTGTTACAAACTGAACAGTTTGACCAATGATGGGGGTTATTTGTATATAAATAAAGTTCAAAGTGGTTTATTATCAACTAAATAAAATTAAGGGAATTCTTTGCATAATATTCAAAGTTGAGGAGAGTTTTATATATTTTTAAAAAATATTGAAGTTAATATATTTTTATATCTCGAAAGGACAAAATTTCCAAAATGTTTTACAATGAAGGGCAAAATTAACAATACATTTCTGTTGTATGATAAGTAGCACATCTCATCCGTCCAAGTGAGAGAAGGTTTAATGAATTCCCTCACGTGAGAAAAATATTAGCTCCTTGGTAAGTTAAATAATGTATGCATACCAAACGTATGAATGTATGAAATTCTCTCTCCATCTTTTTTCTTTTTGGGAAGCGCAGAGATTATAAAAATGGATTTAATCTCTCTTGAAAATGTTCCTTAGTAATCATTTTTTTATTGAAACTCTTTTCATGCATATTACTCACCCCATCTTAAATTATAAAATATTTTTAGATAAAATCTCACATACTAATAAACTTTATTAAATACATTTAATAATTTTATTTTTTTAAAATAATATAAACTTTCAAAAATATCCATCATTTAATATATTAAAAAGAGAAAAAATAAAAATTAATTATAGAGAGAAAAATGGTAATATTAAAAATGATGCATTTAATGAAATCTTAATTTATTCAAAGTGTTTTTATATTTTGAGACAGAAAAAACTCTTTCAAAAGTGCTTCATAATTTAGGATGAAGATAGTACTTTTTTTTGGACAAACTTTTATACATACTAATTAAACATGACATAAGATAAAGAGCATTGGCTGTCATGAAAACAATTATATGTTGAAATCCGTTCACTTGTATTTAGTTCAAAGGAAGGGGAGGAATTTTACCTCATTTGGTTCAGAAAGTGAGAGGAGGAAAAATAATTATATATGAATAATTTTATCCTCATTTTATTAGTGTTGAAATATCAAAAAAGTGTACCTATATTTTTTAAACTTATCATAAAAGGTATATTAGTCAGGATAAAATATGTTTTATCCCTTCTTTCCCAATTCCCCCAACTTGGAGGGGACATCCTTTCCCCTTCAATTTTTCAAGCCAAATAAAGGAAGGGGGCAAAATCTCTCCCCTCCTCTCCAATCAAACACTCCCTTAAAATAGATAAATTCCTTCATGTGCTTGTTGATGCAATTTGAAGAAACATTTTCTCGTGTCCAGCTCTACCAACTTATTCCATATAATAACAAATTTGTTTTCTCTATTTTTGATAAAAATTTGACACAAAGACCAAATCTTACTCCATAACAATGAAGATATCCTCCAATGTGGTGACTAGGAACTCAAAAATGAATCTTAGTTAATGACAATTTGAAATGAATACATTCTTTGAGTGTGTGTGAGAGAGAGATAGGAATCTGATACATGAATGAGTCTCCACCTTCTCTGCCATTGTTTATTTTTCAAGTTCATGGGTATTCATTTTCATCTAAAAGACTAAACAAGAAGTGTCCATTCTATTGTTACATTGTTGTATATAGTGTAAAATTTAAATGATTTCGTTAGCGTATCAATCAATTGTGGTCAAAAATCAAAATTGTTGCAAAGCTTGCTGACTAGTTAGTCTCTATACACGTGTCATTGATATGAGTCTTCATGGATCCTCTATATCGGGCCTATTTGGATACCCTTCTAGAATTAATTTTAAGTTCAAAATCATAGTTTCA